TCATTTTAGATCGGGCTCGCGCGCGTTTGAATTTAACGAGTGCTCCATTTGATTTCGACTCGCTTCTCGCGCGTTCCGTGTCTCACGACGGGAACTCGATCGTGGGGCGCGTTTCGCGTTCTTTCGCAGCAGGAAAATTTATTTCCGACAGTCGCGGGCAGCAGGAGTACCCCGCCACGGCGGGGAATACCGCGGGCACACGCGCGTGTCTACTTATTTATAATTGACTCGCGCCTTCTTACGTAACACCGCAGTCGCATTCCGCGCGCGGATAACAAAACGGTCGGTTAGCGTCTCGGCCGGGATTATTGACTGCCGACAGGGATGCATAAATCCGGTAGGAAACGAACGAGAGAGATCTGGTCTCTCGTGCGAACGAGACATTAACCAACCACGCCTTGTCCGAAAGGATTGTAGATTCTTTTTCGTGCACTTCATCCTTCTCGCGCACCTGAGAGTTTCACCATCGAAATTGCTTTCTCTCAGGCGTTAATTCCACCAACGTAGGCTTATCAGACTTCAAATAAATCATCTATCTGTATTGTAGCTATAAACTTATTACACGAAAGAAAGGGGCTGGCTTAATTTACTTAATCAACGTTGATTCGATAAGAGTCTGGCTCTTACGACCATTTCTGTTAGCGTTAGAGTTAATTGGTCTCCCATTTCTTCTTATGAGCAAAACTGTGAGAAGTGAATTAGCGTCGTTCGTCGACTTTAATTAATTTAGCGTTATTAGCGGGAGCGCCCGTCTCTCTCCGGTAGAGAGTAAAACGTCCGGCCTTATTTAATCCTTCCGGATGAATGCGGTATACCTCTTAGAAGAGTGAAAAGGTAAAATGGTTTCCGCGGTGCTGTCAACGCTGTTATACCATGCAATCAACAATCTAACGTATGATTAATCTAATGTACGATTTCCGTATTTGCTCTCGCGCGCGCTGACGCAATCCGAGACAAAAAGAGACCGCGGCGGTAAGATAAACAAATGAGGGAGAATGAGTCGCTGGAATCGATATATTGCCGGAGGTACGAAGTGGCGTCTTAAGGATTTACATATAATCAGCGCGAGCGCGGGTAGTCGCCGTGGACTCTCGGAGGAGAGTGTATACGCGATTCAAAGGTCGTCTTGTTACGAGGTGATTCCTCGAGTGGCGAGTGGTCTTTGCCATTTCCCATGAGCATAGCCATAAAGGCGGCGGAGGTCGACCGACCGACCGACCAACCAACCGACCAACCCGACCAGCCAACCAACACGATGGATCACAGCGATAAGGATATATGCAGCGTGTACTGCAGCTTGTACAGTACACCGGAAGTGATCCCACCGCACTCGCGCGCGCGCGCGTTTCGAGGAACGGTCCGAGAGAGGTAACAAGTCTCGTCGTTCCACCGTCGGCAGCCACCGTTGTCTTGTCTGTCCGTGTCGCGTTTCTGCGTCCCCGTGGCCCGTCTATTGCCCGCGGTGTTATTTGTTTCGATATATTTTCGCGTAGGCGCGGATCGACCGACCCGAATGCCAGCTCTATACCTTTTACTTCGGGATGCAGAAACGAATGCTGTTCTACGTGGGCAGCGCGGAGTAGTAATATAATAAAGTCCCGCGGAATGATAGAAAGGTGCAGGATGCTAATAATAGCCTTTCGCAGGGTCGCCGCAGGTCGGCAGGTGTGCTTCGCGGTATCTACTAGCTGTTCCCCCGGACGGATCAGTGTCGTCGACTTCGTGACGAGTTTCGTGACGTAGTCGCGTCGCAGAACTCGAACGAGTTGAGAGAGAAACGTCGTTTCAGCTCGCGCGTGAATAAGTGAAAAAAATAAATAAATAAATGCCAGGATGACTCCCTTCTCCCCGAACCAGTTTACCTGATTTTATTTAGAGTACTTTGTACTCGGATAATAAGAGCGGCTTTGTACAACAAAATGACATTGCAATATCGAGATCTGCGATCGAGAGAAAGCCGCGAAACGATAGAGCGACGCAGGTATCGAAACAGCGAACGTCGATGCGAGATCGACGCCGTGTTCTTTTAAATTCTACCCTATATAGGCACTAGACTGGTCATAAAGCATGGCCTAACAAAAATAAGAATAAACCGTTAATGGCCATTTGCACAACCGCTAGTTGGGTGGTAAATGTCCATCGGCCATAAATCGTCCCGATCGGTGGCGCGCCGCGGCATTGGAAAACAAAACGACAAATGGAGCGGTGTTCCTGACGCATGCAGACCGCTTTCCGGAAAATTTATGACGCGGGTCTAATTGTCGGTGTTCTCGGCGGTATATCTGAAATTGCGCACGTACGCTCCGACGGTTTAATTTCAAGAGCAAAACAACTTGGTGAGACTTAAAAGCCGCGTTATCCGACGGTCATCTAATCGTCCTCTCCTCCCTCCCTCCCTGAAAAGATCAAGATCGCTCAAGGATAAGAAACGTACGAAAAAAAAAACACGGTGAACGAGACAAAAAAAATCTGGCGGTGTCACGCGAGGAGAAGCCTTCCTCCGAGAATCTCTCATCGCGACAAATTCGCACGTAGATATCTCGCCGGCCGACCTCTCGAATTCGGAGTGCGCGCGCGCCGATAATGAGCGGCAGATAACGCGCGCGGAGAAACACGTTCGGGACACGTTCGGGACGGGATTCTCACGACATGGAGCCGCGGCGAGTCGACAAACATCCACGCCCCAGAAACCGACGTATCGGGTTCCACGATCCCGCTGGCCTCGCTACGACGACGTCCGTCTTTCCGCCTGTCGTCGACAAAGCTCCTTGAAAATTGTGCAACGCAACCGTGGTTCTCGCAATCTCCCGGTACGATGACGGTAGATCATGTACCTTTTTTTTTCTCTTCATGCCGCGCGCGCTCGCGGGATAAGATCTCGCTCGCGCGAATGAAACTGAAACTGGCCGCTCCCACGTGAGCATTTAGGTGCCGCTTGTGCGACGCGGTAATTCAAGAGAGGCGTAAATAAACGGCAATGATGTACGGTCGAAATAGCCGAGAGATTTAAAAAAAATTCTCCCGATTGCTGTAACGCACTTTAGGTGGGCGTTAAACGAGATATCGAAATCGTGTACCAGAATTGGAATATCTTGAATGAACAACGATATTTTATCCCATTAACTGAACTGTAGACTCGAGTACTGTAGCCTCGGATGAATGTTGAGCGTGAGAATAATTTTGCTAAGTAGTCGAAGTCTCTAAATAGACATCTTTTCATTCAATGAGCATCGAGCGTGAGAATAATGTTTAAGACGAAAGTGGAAGCATTGCCGAGGCCATGCGCCTTTTTTGTATGATCCGGCTCTACGAAACGCGCGTGTGTATCAAGACGCGGACATGGACGTGTCGTTGGCGTGTAGAGGCGGACGACGAGACAACTTGTCCTGTCGTGGCAGATGGCCCCCCCGCGAAAGAACAAGAGCGAAGGAGAGACTTAGGAAGGCGGACTTATTCGGCCTATTTACGGGCAATTGTTTAACGGGAGCTCGTGAAGCGGGAGTTTTCTACACGTTAGTTACACGCGTAATTGGAGATCCGCTCTTTTCCCTGTCTTGCCCTGTCTCGCGAATAACAAAGGCAACCGTTGACAGACGTGCAGGGAAATTGCAGAGTTGCGCCTCAGAGAAGGCGGGCCCGCGATCGCACGAACTTTAAATAGAGCTCCTCTCCGCCGGCTCTCCGAAACCTTTAATTATACACGATCGGTGGAGCAAGTGGCCTCGCGAGCGCATTGTCGAGTATACTGGCATACTAGCCGCGATTACATTGATTAAAATATTTCAGTGATCTAGAGGAACTGTACACTGCCTCACGTCGACGTTGGCAGTCGACTTTCCCGCACTTCATACGGAGCTTCTCTATCAGTAGAGAGACCTTTAATTATAAGCGATCGGACAGCGATTTCACAAATAGACATTTCCGTGCGCGCGCGCGGCATATCTTTTATGATTGGAATAAAATATATATATATATTATATCGTGAATAATATTGCGATACGTAGGCAAGCGGTGTGTTTTATGTTGACGTTGGCACTGACTTTCTCTGCAGCATCGACTTAATTCGAAAGGACATCAGAGATTCGTCGCACGAACGAAGCGCGGGGAATTTCGAGGTCCTACCCCGGCCTCCCCCCCC